CGACGACGAGGATCGAACCCGGGACACGAGGCTCTGATACCATGTAAAGAACAACTTCAACCCAAAACCTTAAGGTATTCAGTGAGGTTACATTAATGATTTTATTTATCTTTAACACGCCCCCTCACACGAGAGCCTACTAGGCTTGAAGAGTGGACAATACACAGGCCCACTACCTGTGTTAAGAAATTCCACAAGAGAAAGTGAGAGGCGGTGAGGATCGAACCCGGGACATGAGGACTCTGATACCTTGTAAAAAACCTTGGGATACACCATCCCAAAAGTTAGCTCAAATGGTGGGAGTGTCCAAGGCCTTATAAAGGTCATATTAGTTGCTCATATAACCAATGAGGGACTATATATCTCAACACGCCTCATCACACGAAAATTCATTGGGCTTGAAGGGTGGATGATGCAACAGGCCCAGCCTACCTGTGCTAAGAAATTCCACAAGAGAAAGTGGGGGGCGGCGAGATTTGAACCTGGGACACGACACGAGGCTCTGATACCATGAACCTTGGGATACACCACCCTAAAAGCTAGATCAAAGAGTGTCCAAGGTCTTATAAACTCCACATTAGTTGCACATATAATTAATGTGAGACTATATATCTCAACAAGCTCAAAGAGCCAAAACTTGTAAAAATATCCGAAAAATTTTACTTCACTCAAAAGAAATAATTATGGTTGATATAAAACAAAAACAAAAATAAAAATGCGAAGGAAATTGACTTCGGCCTTGCTTTGTTTGCTCAAATCCCTTTTGTGATTACGCTTTACAAATTGTGTGATCCGATGCTTCGAAGAATAGACAAAAGAGAGGGATTGATGGAGTGTTTGAGTACGTGTGAGTGAAATCTCAACTTGTGTATTGTGATCCATCAATCGAATCCTGTCCGTCCATCACAAAACTGTAAAAGACAGGGACAGGTGTGTGACTGTGATGGCCAGCTATATGAAAAAAGGAGGGACCCACAATCCAATTATCTGTCCCGACAAAAGCCTCGGGGGTCGGGTTCACGAAACCCAGAGTGAGGCCCACCCTCACCTTCAAACTATATCATCCAATCATTCACTTTTGTTTGCCACGTCATCAGCCTGCAAAGTCCATGGATAGGGTTTATGCCCTACTGGGGGGGAGGGTATGGCAGCCTGCAGCACCTGATCAGCTTGCTTCATGGGCATGGAGGTATGTTCGTGCACATTTCCTTTTCTTCTCTTTTTTGTTTAAAAAAAATGTTATTTCTTTCTGAATTTTAATTGAATTTATTTGGATGATGTTTAAGTAAACACGAGGTGTCTCAAGATTTTATTTAATATTTATATTAAAATTAACATTAAAAAAAATTAGTAAATTATTGAGGATAATAAGTTAATTTACTATTGTGATTTTTTTTCATTGTATAATTGCTCAAACACTTTGACCCAAGTAATGTTATTTCTACAAAATAAATAAAATTTGATGACGTGAGACTAACTCAATTTGTTCATTTTGTCATAATTCTAGTTGGATGGTGTTTACTTTTAGAGAAAAGTATTTCTCTTTTTAAAAGATATAAAATTGTATTATTTTAAACCAAATTATTGTATTTTATATTGAGAGAAATAATTATCCTATAAAAATTATGATGAAAGAAAATAAGAGGTTATTGATAATTTTTAAATTTAAATAAATAATTTTAATTAAAATAATACAATTTTTATATCCTTTAAAAAATAAATATTTATTTTCACTTATTTTTATTATTGTTCATATTTCAGCTTATGCATGGATGGAACGTTCTGCAACTTCTGCTTTATTCTTCAAAAACAAGCTATCAGTTCTGTGGCTCTGCAAGTCAGAGAGGGGAGGACCGAGATTCTTTGCAATGCTCCGTGCCCCGTGTCTTGCCTTTCATTTTTTTTATCTTCTTTCTAGGGCAACCTTCTTTTCTTCATTTTTAATTTTCTTTATAATACGACAATTGAAGCCTACAATGCAATAAATATTTAAAGGGTTCATCGTTTCTACTTTTGTTGTTGATGAGAAAAGTTGCAGCAAATTATTAATATTAGGATACGAGGTCATATCCTGGCTAAAAAAAAAAAACACATCAGGATTCGAACGCGTATCCTGATAAAAATAAATGTTGCTGCACTTTTTTCCATCTGCGGTGAAAAAGTATATAACCCATATTTAAAACAACCATATGTTACATACTGACTTATAGGAGAAATAAACCTTCAGCGGATATAGATATATCCATATTAAAAGGGATAAGTTTTTGGGATTTGAGAGGTAATATAAAAAAACATATGGATAAAAATAGAAATAAAATTTTTCCTATTTAATAAAAAGAAATACCGAGTATTACACTCCCATAACATTGAAGTAATTTCCGAGTTATAGATAAATTAAGAGAATGTTTGACGATATAAAATTTCGAGAATTAACTTTCCCTCTTGTTTTGTTCAAGACAAGAGAGTATTTAAGGTATATCTAAATTTAGTTATAGTAGCAAGTAGTTGTTATTCCAAGTATTATGCCGGCCAGCGATAGGGGTTATACACGTTTGTTGGAGGATAAATTTTTTTATATCCGAAAATTATAATTTCTAAAAATATAATGAGAAAAATATTTTTATGTTATTAAGAAATTATTTGGTAAGTCAAAATATTGTCGAGATTTATTTCAAAAAAATGTAAAATTTTACTAACATATGGGATTTCAAATGATATTTTTGAATGACATTTTAAAAGAAAATTGTACACAAAATAAAATTTTGGAAAAATTAGATTACCAGAAAAAAAATTTAGAAAATTTTGTACTAAACATGGGCAAATAGAATTATCACTATCACTTTCCCGAAAATCTCAAAAAATTCTCCCTACCAAACATCTCCTAAATATTTAAGTCATTATTCTGTTTTAATGAATAATGTATTAGGATTAAATCATTACATATAATAATTTCTTCTGGCGTTGCTAGGATTAGTAATCTAAGCTAATAATGTTTCTAATGCTTCTTAAATGTGCAATTATGAAAGGTAATTTACCTTTAGATTGTTAGGAAAAGAGTTAAAAGTGAGAAAAAAAATTCCTGTCAAATGAGATTAGTATATTCCTTGTTGCTTGGTCAAATCATACCATGGACTTTCAAAATTTTGGGCCCAACCAGTTCAGAACAAAGTCTGAAATTTACATGTCAGGGGAATGATTTAATTTTGACTACATAAGGAATGGAGCTACAACCACTTGTATCACATGTATAGCAACCTAATGTGTCCAAAAAATAATGCTTGTTGTCTCTGTTTAGAAGAAAACTGTGTTGGAGCACAATTTAAAGTTTGAACATGATAATAGGGAGGAAAAAAAAAAGATAGGTATAATTATATACCTGGCTCCCTTTAGGAGTAGAAAACCACATCACTTTAGCATTTCATTTGAGCAAATAAAATCTTTTTCAAGATTTGAAAAAACCCGTGTCTAATTTACATCCATGTTGTGTAATTTATTTATTTTTTCAAAAAAAATAAAATAATCCAGCATAATAAAGCAGCATATATACTGCAGTAGTATTTAATGCAAGAGGGATGTAGTACTACACAGTTGCACATAGATCGCCACCAGATGCTTGTGGTCACATGGGCTTTGGTTATGATGCAATAGCAACTACTCAGCTAGCGGACAAACACTCACAGGGTCCTATATCAATGCACAGATTTCAGATGGGGACAGTGTCCAAAAAACTGAGACTATATTTCAGTTATAATAACATTGTTAATGTTGATATTTAATTTCGGTTCATTGCCCAACTGAGACTAATTTTTGGGTCAATTTTCCACTTATTTCATCACCCAATGTGGCGTATCATATTCACCCTTCATATAAATTTTTACCCCCTCCAAATTACTGCAACAATTTCAAGTCATAAGAATTAAGGAAGAATCCATGCTTCCGATGACTCCTCTGCAAAGTGAAGGAGAAGCGTCACTATCTCAGAACTCATACTTGCACGTGCTATGCTATCTCAGTTATATAAAAACTAACTCATCTGTTTATTAGAAAAAGTGTATTATCCAATGGAGGTAGGAGGTGAATTGTAAGTCTTTCCTTTGAATCCATCATTTTGCTATATTAATTAACAAATTGAGGAAAAGAATAAAAGAAAAGAATGTAATAATTAATCCATAAATTATATGAAATTTAGAACACCAATGGTCCGAGGTATATACTTGTGTTAGTCGTGAGTGATAAGCAATGAAACACTAAATGCGGTGAGCACTGGAGATCGCACTAAGCAAGGTCTTCTACCACTATTTCTCAGATTCAGTGTAAAAATAAAAAATACAAAAATTTATCGTGGTTCAGCCATAGGTCTACATCTACACTGATGACGTTTCTTTTCCTCTCAGTAATGATACATTGGGTGGGGGTGGGGGGTGGGGGGGGGGGGGGGGGGGTTCCCTACAATATAAATAATAGGTGATACAATAATTGAGGCAAATTATTTTGCCCACAATCAAAGAAATCATATGATTTGTTTCCCTCTTTATGGTTATATTTGATACATGATTACAATCAATCAAATCTCCAAATTTATCTCCTCTGATATCACTAACACTCCCCCTCCAAGTTGAGGCGAAGATGTTAATCAAGCCCAACTTGGTAATGATGTTTTGAAAGGAGCTCTTAGGAAGAGCCTTTGTGAACATGTCTGCAAGTTGATCTTCACTTCGGATATATGCATATGGTGTCTCAATTATCTTAGCTTGAACTTTTTCTCGAACAAAATGGCAATCCACTTCAATGTGTTTAGTTCTCTCGTTAAACACAAGATTGGATGCGATATGAATAGTTGCTTGGTTATCACAGTACAACTTAATAGGGAACTCTATTTTCTTCAAGGTGAGGTCAAACAAGAGATATTTGAGCCAAATAAGCTCACTGGTGGCTAAGTTCATAGCACGATATTCAGCTTCTACAATGGAACGAGCAACTACACTCTGTTTTTTACTTTTCTAAGTAACAAGGTTGCCTCCCACAAAGGTGCAGAAACCTGAGGTAGATCGTCTATCATAAGGGCTACCAGCCCAATTAGCATCAACATACCCAATAATATCAGTGTGGTTGTTCTTTTTTAACCATATGCCTTTTCCTAGACATGACTTCAAGTAATTAAGTAGCCGATATGCTAGATTCATGTGACCTTGTGTTGGTTTGTGCAGGAATTGACTAACGTAGCTCACCGAATAAGAGATATTTGATCTGGTTATGGTGAGATAGATTAACTTGACAATAAGTCTCTGAAATTGTCTTGGGTTAGATAGATGAGTGGAGTCATTTTCAAACTTACCCTTATATTCCATAGAAGTATCAACTGGTTTGGATGCCAACTTATCGGTTTCCTTCGAGAGATCCAAAACATATTTCCTTTGTGAGATGAATAAAACTTTATTAGATTCAGTAATTTCAATACCGAGGAAATACTTTAAACGCTCCAAGTCTTTAATGTCGAATGTCATATTGAGATGTTTCTTCAATTTATCTATCTCGATTATATTATTCCCGGAAATAACTATATCATCTACATAAATAAGGACCACAATAGTATTTCAAGCCCAGTGTTTGATAAATAAGGTTTAATCTGACTTACTTCTAAAGAACCCAAACGCAGTGAGTGCCTTGCTCAACTTTCCATACCAGGCACGAGGAGATTGCTATAGGCCATATATTACTCGCTTTAGTTTGCACACCTTACCAGGTTGAGATTTAAGAAGGTGACCTGGAGGTAGATCCATGTAGACCTCCTCTTCAGGTTCTCCATGCAAGAAGGAATTTTTAACATCCATTTGGAAGAGTGGTCATCCGTGATTGACGGCAACTGACATAAGGACCCTCACAATGTTTATTTTTGCTACTGGTGCAAAGATCTCTGTGTAATTTACACCATAAGTCTGAGTGTACCCTTTAGAGACGAGCCGAGCTTTGTGTCGCTCAATGGACCCATCACTTTGATATTTGATTTTATAAGTCCACCTGCGACCAACAGTGTGTTTGCCTTTGGGAAGAGAAACAATTTCCCATGTGTGATTTTTATCAAGAGCAACAAGTTCATCATTCATAGCAGCTTGTCATTTTGGAATTAGCTTTGCTTCTTCAAAGGTGGCAGGTTCATGATGCTTGTCAATGGCAGTCAATAAGGCCTTATGTCCATTAGAAACATGGTCAAGACAAACATACTATTGAATAGGGTAAGTGACAGCCGTACAGACATAGTCCTTTAATTTAGTTGGTGGTCTGATGGTTCTGGTGGACCTACACACAGGCTGATCTTGCATTATTGGTGGATTATAAGTGGATATCTCGGCTTTAGGCAAATCAAAAAGAGGTGGTGCTACATCTGGTACAACATCTGCTAGTGGTACTTCATCTAATACCACATTTTCTCGTGGGACAATGTTTGGTGCCATATTTGTTGGTGGTATTGCATCAACTATATATGTTATTTAACAAGAAGTTGGCCTGGGAGAAAAATCAAGTTAAGTCCTGATTCCAATCTCCCCCTGATTTTTATCCCTAGAAGAAAAGTACATGGACCTTTCATTGAACTAAATGTCGTGAGAAATATATAACTTCCTGGTAACAAAATCATAACATTTGTAGCCTTTTTTGATCGGCGAGTACCCTAAGAAAACGCACTTAGTGGCACAAGGCTCGAGTTTGTTGGTATTTTGTAGGTGAACAAAACCCACACAACCAAAGGCTCGTAGATGAGAAAGATTAATATATCGACATAGAGTACTGCCAATGGAGATTTATACTGAAGTTGTTTGCTGGGTGTACGGTTAATGAGGTAACAACTTGTGAGTACTGCATAGGACCAAAAATTAGAGGGAATATTGCCATGAAAAAGCAAGGACCGAGTGACCTCTAGTAGATGTCGATTCTGTCTCTCGGCAATGCCATTTAGCTTAGGGGTACCGACACAGGATAATTGATGAACAATTCCCATGGATTTAAGAGACGTTTGCATGGAGTGATTAACATATTTGGTACCATTGTCACTATGCAAAATTTTAATACTCACTCAAATTGATTTTTAATCATTTGATAAAATTCCTGAAAAATATCACACACTTCAAACTTGGAGCGCAATAAGTAAAGCCACATGCAACGAGATTTGTCATCAATAAAAGTAATAAACCATCGAAAATCATCACAAGAGTCAACTGGGCAGGCCCCAATACATCAGAGTGAACAAGTTCAAAACTAGTAAAAGAAACATGATCGCTACTATCAAAGGGCAACCTATGAACTTTCGAAAAACGATATGTATCACAAGTGCTGAAATTAAGGATAAATTTAGAATCAACATGTTTCAAAATCTTATCAGAGGGGTGACCCATGCGCCAGTGCCATAGTTGGGATTCCCCCGTCATACAAGTAGCTGAAAGGCCCAAAGTTGACGTGGGAAGAAGGTAGAGACCATTCTGACAAGAACCTTCACTAATCTTCCTCCTAATGCGAATGTCCTGAAATATCACCTTTTTGCAGAAAATATAGCATTGCAATGTAGATCTTGTGTAAGTTTAGAAACTGATAGTAGATTAGCAGATAAAGATAGAACAAACAATGTATCTGATCGTCTGTCAAATAGATTAAGTTTCCCAAACCCATAACCGGGACTTTATTTTCATTTGCAACAGTTATAGGAGCAATTCAATCAGTATCAGATATATCACATAATAAGGAGGAATCGTGGCACATATGCTTTGTAGCACCTGAATCAATAATAAAGGATCGAGGAAAAATTTTTGTAAGTGCAGAGGACATACCACCATGGACGAAGTGACTAGCATCAGAAGATTTTCCAGTGGTTCCAAGGTTAAGGTATTCCTGTAGATGAACAACAAGTTTTCCCAATGTAGATTGAAGATCACCAGGTAATTCCACTGAAGATGGTTGTGATATAGTACTATTTGCACCAATAATACGCTCTCTTTTTAGGTGTGGGTACAGTAGCTAGCGTCGTTCACGAGAGTGACCATCTCTGTTGCAGTGATCACAATGGGATTTGTTGCTACCACGCTCTTTCCCTCTTCCTTTAGGACCTGAATGTCCCATGTGACATATAGGTGTAGAAATAGAAGTAGAGGAAGAGGAAGTACCTGCATTGGGTAACATAATCTCTCGAGCAGGCAAGTGGTGTGCAAAATGGTCGATGTGATCACTGGTAGCGGGGGACATCGGCTTCATGGCACGACAACGTGTCTCTTCTTGATGAATGATGTTGCAAACGGATGTGAAAGAGGGAAAGGGAGAAGTCATTAAAATCTTATGCTTGAGAGACTCATATTCTGGTCGGATGCCGGCAAGGAGAGTAAATACCCGATCTTGCTCGTCTCAGGTCACATAGTTAGTCAATGTTGTTGCTATGGGATGATACTGTCGAAGCATCCCATATTTTCTTTAATTAGCCAAGGTAATCAGTGAACGACTGTGAAGGAAGTTGGTGGGTCATTTGGATTTCTTATTGGAGCTCAAAAATGCGAGAGGCATTGTGTTCATGCCCGAAGTGTTGTACCACCAACTCCCACAGATCTTTGGTAGTATTAGAATATGCAAAGAGTTTATAAACATCAGGTTCCATTGAGTTGAACAATTAAGTTAGTACTTGATTGTCGGATGCTTTCCAAACTGTGTAGGAGGCATCTGTCTTGGTTGGAGCTCGATTAGTCAGGTGAAATTCTTTAGATCGTCCACCAAGTGCAACTATGACAATGCACTTCCATGGCATATAATTCCGGCCATTAAGAAGGATGACGGTGAGTCGTTTGGTATTAGATGTACTGGTCTTGTCGGAAGCAGCCATGAAACCAAACACAGACCAGAAAAACAAACCACTAAAGGAGAAAAAAAACCCAAATAAAATAGGAACCTGGTATGGCCACAATGGGAAAAAATTACAAAAAACCGCAGATAATGTTGATCCTTGTCAAACACAGAACTTTTCAAAAATTGAACCTTTCACGTAGAACCTGATCCAAGATCGGCTGGTAATATATCAACGCGTGCATTGGTAGACGACAAGTACACAATGGCAGAGACAACACACGAACAGGGGCAGTAGGGAACGAACAACACACGGTCGGCGGCCAGCAGGGTGATAGTGCGATGACAGGATAATGGCGATGGCAAGACGGTGGCGTCTGGTCAGTGAGGATATGCTGAGTTTCTCTCCTAAATATATGGCAGCCTAGGTTTGGACAAGGTTAAGTAAAAAAAAAAATTGAAGAACAAGGGAGGAAAGAAAAGTAAGTGGCGGCGACAACGAAAAGTAGGGAGGAAAAAGTTGGGGTCATGGGGGTTGGAAGGGTTTTTGTTGTTATATATATATATATATATATATATATATTTAACCCGCTCTTTGCAAGAACCTGCACCGTTAATTAAGGAAGTTAATTAATTAATTATGTGAAATTAGAAAATAATTCCATAATTGACCCTAATACCTTAATAATTATAAGAAGGCTTAAATAATATTGGTAAATGATTAATAATGCTGAAAGTCGCTTTTCTGACGAAAAGTGCAGATACCGGTTCTGCTACTCGGTATAGATGCGTACCGATGAAGTATCCCAGAAAATTATAATAAGTGTGGGAATATTCCTAAAATAATATGTAAGACTAATGTTTCAAGTTTCAAGTTAAAATAATTAGAATTGGTGCCAGAACTAATACTGGCTATGGAAAAGCGCGTACCGAAAAGGTGCTGCGAAAAATAAAATAAAAATATGATAAATCCTAGAATAATGGCTAGGTTCAGAATCTAAAATTTGAGATTAAAATGCTAACCGTAGTTATTAATGTTAATATTGTGTGTTATTTTAAGTGGATTTATTTAAGCTATAAGGCACAAAACCCTAGGCCATAATTTGGCTGCTACGTGAGTATCTTGGGTGCTGATTCTCTTCATCCATTGTCCCTTCCCTTGAAGCTTGGACCCTTGTGCTTGTTTGAGGGCCAAGAACTCACCTTTCTCCTTAGATTTCTTCACATAAAGACTTGTAAACACCTTGTAGTTATCATTGTGAGGAAGCTTGGTGATTTATTCTGAGTGTCAGCCTTGTGAGGAGGGTGTTTGTTGCTGTCCACCTTGTTTGAGAGAGTGAGGACCTTGTTCTTACCATTTCTAGACTCCAAGGAGCTTTCTTGGTAGCAAAGATCCAAACTTTGATGGTCAAATTCATGGGCTTTTGAAGTCAGTAGCTTGGTGCTGTTGTGAGTGCTCTAAGTCATTCTCATTTTATGAGTTTGGAGCTTTTGAGGTGAGCCATGACCACCTCTTTGCCATTTTGATGTTTAAAACTTGTTTAATCAGTTAAAAAGAGAAACTTTAATCATTTAAGCAAAGGAGTGTGTTTCTGAGTTCATAGCATATTAATGAACATCTGTTTAGGGAGTCATTGGACTCCCAATCGCGTTTGGACCCTTAAAATTGGACTTATGCAGAAGAATGCTCGAATTTTTGCATTCTGTCTGATAAGTATTCGAATACTTTTTGTGTAGTATTCGAATACTTATCCCTTGGCAGTCGAATACTCCTTACAGGAGTATTAGGATACTTTTCTGGGAAGAAAAGTATTCGGATACCTTGAAGAAGTAGTCGAATACTGGGTAGTATTCGAATACTGGGGTGTGGGTATTCGAATACCATGTGGTATTCGAATACTTTAGTGAAAGTAGTTGAATACTTTCTGGAGAGCAGGAGTATTCGAATACTCATCGGGGAGTATTCGAATACCTCTTGCAGAAACTACCTAAAATGACTTAAAATGAGATGGAAAGC